TGAAGCCTTGGCTTCAGATACCTCGACCATGTTTACCTCCATGTTGCTCTTGGCAACGAGATTCAGTTTCTGCATCTTGGCTTCCAAGTTTTCTGTTGAACTTTTAACGGCAGTCAAGTAAGAACCTGTAGTGGTTCTCTTGTTGGAGCTTTCAGCAACTCCTTTGTTTGTGTTTGAGCCTTCAGTAACTCTTTTTCTTGAGCCTTCAGCAGCTCCTTTGTTCAGGTTTAGGCCTTCAGTGGCCTTCCTCACCCCTTCGACAGTTTTCCTAGATATGTTTCCAGTAAAACTTCCAAATACAGGCTTGTTGGTGGAGTCTTCAAAAACTTCAACCATATGGATGCCAATTGGTTCAGCATAATATGCATACATTTGTAGCGGGTTCGCATTAATTTTCATTTTCGGCTTATCAGCGAACTTGATCCTTCCTTCTTTGAGTGCTTCTTGAACAAGATCCCTGAAAAGAAAACATTGTGAGGTTTTATGGCTTAGAAAATTGTGATATTTACAAAAACCTCTTTTCTTCCTTTGTTCTAAAGGAGGCATTTTTTCCCCTGGGGGCACTATCATTTGGCCATCTTTGACTAATAAATCAAATATTTCATCGCACTTAGTGATGTCAAAACTATATGTTTTCTTTGGGAATTTGTCACTGTTCCTTTCAGACTCCACAGGATTCTTCCCATTTGAGGGCACTAGCAATTTACAAGAGTATGGCGGCCCTTATTTTAACTCCTCTAAATCTATCTCGCCTTCTTTGACATCTATAGGATCACTAGATGTCTATGGGTCGTCATCATCCATTTCGACATAGGCTACTCTTTCTCTTCGATGAGTTTTGGTCGCTTTAGCCTTTTCGGTTTTAAGGCGTTCTACTTGTCAAACTCTATCGGCCAGCTGGGCCATGTCTCTCAAGTATTGGGTATCTAACTTTTTCCTAATGGAATAATCCAGGCCCCCTGCTGCCATTTCGACCAATTCATGTTCAAGCACTTGGGTAAAGCACCTGGCTTTAAGCAGTCGAAACCTATTTAGATACTCATATATTGGCTCAGTGAATCTCCTCTTCACACTAGCCAGTTCTTTTAGACTTATTTTGGTCTGTCACATGTAAAATTGTTCAAGGAACAATCTTTCCAATTGATTCTAATTATGGATCGAATTGGCTGGGAAGGTAGTGAACCAAGTAAAAGCATTTTTTGTTAGAGAACTTGGGAAGTATTAAATCCTAAGGTTTTCGTTGTTTGCTATTTCCCCGGCTTCTATCAAATATCTCGCCACATGTTCGACAGTAGATTCTGTCGTATCCCCTGAAAATTTGGTAAACTTGGGGACTTTTCCCCTAGGAGGTAAGTCTGTTTGCAGAATATATTCTGACAATGGGGATGTGAAGTTTGGTCTGTGAAAACCAACGTTCATCCCATTCTGTACCATAATCCTTTCGATCATGGCAGTCAGATTATTATCTGTTCCATAATTTTGGTGTCGAACTTGCTGTATCAATTCATCAGCATTTTGGTTCATATTCACCATAATCACTCCTTGATCGACTTCTCTAGGGATCAGTGGGGGATTTCGAGGTATTTCGATCCTAGGTTGTTCTATTTCTACTCTAGGGATCTGTGGATTTTGATTAACGGTTAAATCTTCTTCCAAGATTACCCCTTGGTTTACTCTTATTGGTATTCTTTAGGGTTGTCGAATAGTTTGGGGTACCCCAAAGAATTCAGCCATGCGCGTCATTTGCGCTGCCATTTGTTGATTCGACTGGGTAGTATTTTGTATTAGGGGGTTCAGCACTGTACTTAGGGTTTGTGCCAGCATTTGCACCATATCATGGTTACTTTCATCCATCTGTTGCCTCAAAATTGTTGTAGAAGCATTTGTGAGACTTGATATTGTATGTGATGATCCTCCTAAAATTTGGTTTCTACCCAAATTTGCCATACTGGCTCCAGATCCCTGTAATGGTGATGACGTACTCACCAAAGATTCTGAAAAAGTAGACGCAGCGTTCATAAGGCTAGCCATTTCAGTGGTTGGCATGCCATATGGCTGTTCTCGATCCATCCAGGCTGTCGAAAATCTTGGGGGAACGTACGGTCGAGATCCTGAATTTGCCCTTGGTGGGGGTGTTCCTAATGGACCTCTAGGACCTACATACGAAAGTATGGCTCCTGTTTGATTCGTGATTAACGTTGGTACCGAACCAACAGAAGTTGAGATATTTTCTCCAACGGTAGTTATAACCGTTGTTCCAGTAGTATTTGGTGGAGGTATTTCTTCATGATTTGGCTCATTAGCCATTCTACTTTCGCTATTTTTCTTCCTAACAGTACACTCGTTGGTTATTCTACCACTTCTTAATAACATGCAACGCTGTATACGTATAAAAGGAAAGCAATAACATGAACAAACAAATGATAAAAATTAGCAAGGTCCCATCAGGTGTGCCAATTTGTTTACCGTTGTTTTTGGTAAACAACCGCTGATCCTCCAAAAAGGAAAGTCCTTTTGTTTACTCGCGGGTCGATCAGATTGATCCCAGAACATATGCTAACTTTTATGCTGGTTTGATATGAAAGTTAATATCTAGGAAGAACGCACGTTCGACCAAGGATATGGTGTTTATGGTTTTTTGGAAAGTAAGAAAGTAAATAGAAGTGTAGGTAAAGATGTAGGAAACGTAAACTTTGCAAAAGAAGATCAAAGCAATGTAAAAATACTTTATTAATAAAAAATAGTGTTTCCAACGTACATTCACAGTTATTCTTTCACACAGCGGGTACTTGAATAATGTTGAGTAACTAGCACAATAGGTTGAACACACGCCAAAACCTACACAAACTTCCTATTTTTATACTAAAATTATGTAACCGTCGAGGGGTTGTTTTGCTCTAGGATGAAGACAAGTGTCTTCTGCATGTCCCTCGACCTCTATCTTTCTGCCACGTCGCTTTCCCTTAACTGCTGGCGAACTGCATTTCCCTCTGATCTTCAAATTCAAATATCCTTCGTCTTTGGTGCTGACACGAGAGTTTGTCTTCTAGTCGGAGGTCACAGGACCTTTCCAGTCGAAGGTTTGATAGTGATATCTGGTCGAAGATCAATTTGTAACTCAGATATTTTCTCTAAATTTCTCCATCCGTCGAAGCATTTTCCTACTTGACTTTATTTTCTCTATTTTTAGCCCATAAAACTAATATATCGTGGATGTCGAATTCAAGAGCCAATCTATCTAGTGATGACAGTCCTAACCGTCATCTATATATATGAATGTGATCTTGCATTACATCAAAATACGATTCATTCATTCACTCACAATTTCTACGCCTCTCACTTTGTTGAATTTAACATTAAAGTGTTAATTTTATATATACTTTTCTTTGCTCATTGGATATATTTACCACCGCTTCGGAAACCCTTATACGATAGTTATCATCGACTTTGCTCATTGGATATATTTACCACCGCTTCGGAAACCCTTATACGATAGTTATCATCGACTTAATACTCATTTTATTTTATGTTCACACTGGAATAGATACATGTATAAATTTTGGAAATTATACACAAAAACCTACATTAGAAATAAACTTGTTGATACTAAAATACACATCATATAGTAGAAACTTCTTTACCAATATAATCAATTGAGAATTCAAAGTATTATTCTGCCTAATCATACATATATAGCAAAGAAGAAGTAAATGGTTAAAAGTGGGAGGTGATAAAGAAAAGGGAAGAATGATTGAGCAATAAACAGTGATATGAAATTGACTGTTGAGGGTCAACACCAAAGTCATTTTCCTTGCCGCCCTGGTTTATAGACAACGTTACAATCCCTTAATTATCATTATTATGCATATCCTCATTTTTCTTTGCTTCTTTCCGTCTTTTGCCCATTTCCATTCAATGCTTAGCTTTTTCTTTTTCTCGCATTCCTTGTCCATTTTAATTATCTTATTCAAATAAGACTACTATTTTTGTCAAATATCTTGTTGATTAAACTAGAACATCATTATTTCTATTTAATTTCAAAATATGAAAAATAGTTTAATCATCGAATATGACATGCATAATAAAGTAATAATAATTGACGGTCGTTACTCGTCCTTCAATAATGTCAGTTTTCTATAACTTATGACAAGACATCTATAATTTTTTTCTACAAGACATTTATGTTTTTCTTATTTTAGGATAAGACTTAATATATTTTTAATTAAATTTTCAATTTGATTTTTTATAGGAGTAATTAGGAATTATAATTTTCAAATCAATATTTCCATTTACACTATAAGAATGAAAAAAATCATATATAGGTAAACAAGAGGAAAAATATTTGAAAATTAAATTACTAAATAGGGAAAAATAATAAAGGAAAAAGGTAAAGGAAAACACTGAGATTTAATGTTTTGCTGTTCATGACCTTGTTCAGGAGTTATCTCCAAAAAGGCACACAAATTAGTAACTCAGATTTTTATAATCCAGCTATCATCATTTTGTATTTACATATTTTGTTCTCTCTTTACTCTTATCTGGCATCCTGTTTTGCTTAGTTGGTCACTGCAATTTTAATATTTTAATTTTGATTCTTGTAAAAGATTTTCAAATTTTAAATATGTAGCAAACAATTCAAAAATTTGTTTGAAATCCTACTGTTTTTCAAATGAAATAAATACATAAAAATAATAAGAGAAATTTCCTCCTATACAAACTCTCTCTGTCTGCAAAGTCCTTAATTTGGACTAAAATCAAAGCGCAAATAACACACCATACCACAATAAGTACCTCCAAAAAAGAGCATGTAAGAGAAAAACTCAAATCTGATGAGAATTCAACTTGGAATCTGCAAAAAAGAAAGCACTAAACTACTATAGTACAAACTCTGTGGACACAGATTACAATGTAAAAAAATACAACCGAATTAACTATATTATAGTAATTTACATATAGAAAAAGCATGCAATATGCAATGAAATGAAACTGACCATGGATTGTTATTGAGAATTATTAGGAGCATCTTCTCCACTTTCATCATTAGGTTGTGGAGGATGAGAGTCCATTGAAATTGAATGGTGGTGATGGTGATGATTATCAGAAGAAGAGTTGTTAACATTGAAATGACCAGCTCTCGTGTAAGCATTAAGAGCAGCCAACATACCCAAGTTTGAATCAGACACTGCTAATCCAAGATGCTGTGATGGTTGATACACTGAACCGAGTTGTAAACCGCCGCGTCCACCTTGGAATTCAAGGCCGCCTCCGCCACCGGGAGGAACGTTGAACCTTGGCATGAAATGTAACTGAGATGGAGTTGCAGTAGTGTTCGCTTGATGTTGAGACTGAGTGTGAGGACTAAAAGGCCACATATTTTGTGTTTGTGTCTCTGAATTTGTGTTTGCAGCACCACCACTCACTGGTACCATCCATATTGTACTTCCACTACCTGCGGTGGCCCACATGGCCGTTGCCGGTAACATATTCGACGGTCGAAGAAGTCCAGAAATAGAATTACCAGGAGAAGAAGATGAAGAGGCTCCAACTCCACCACCTTCTCCTTCACCCATACCGTCTTGCTGGTGATTTGTTTTGAAATTTTTTGGAGAAGAAGAACCATCGCCACCGCTTTCGTTGTTGTTGTTGTTGTTATCGTCTTTGAAAAGATCTTCTCTATAGCGTTTTCTCATGTAATTCTCATTCGAAAGCGCTTCACCGATTTGATCGGCGTTCATGAGATGTTGCTGGTGTTGATGAGGATGAAACCCTAGAAGAGGCGCGTGTTGGTGTTGGTAGGCAGCTTCTTCGTACGGATGGTGCGCCGCCAGTCCAAGCGCGCTGTGAAAACTATGAGGAGCTGATTTCGACGGCGGCGCCGACAGCGTGGAGCCGCTGCTTCGAAGTGAAACATTGAGCGTTGAGAAATTAGCTGGAATTGTTCCTGTGCCGGTGGCGGCAATAATAGCCGGCTCCGCTTGCTGGAGAAGCCATTCAATTGTTTCACCGTCGGATTTATGACCTAATTCTCTGGTCAACTGAAAAACTCTGGCTGCACAGGTCGCCGGCATTCGAATTCTTCGTCCCCGGCCATCGACTTTAGTATGTCTGTCCTTGGTGGATCGTTTGGGAGGATTTGCTACCGTGACGGCTGTGGATGAAGAAGAGAATTGTTGAATCTGAGTGTTGGAGTCGAGTACCGGAGGTTCAGATCTGGTGGCGATTGCCAGAGAAGCGTCAATAAGATGAGGAGTAGTTGCAGAAGCCGAAGCCGAAGCCGAAGACGACGAAGAGTTTGAAGAAGAAGAGGATGAAGAGTTTGAAGAAGGTTGAATATTGGAGATGGAGCCCATAATAAAAGGTGATGACCTTCCATCAAAAGGGACCACAAGTTGCTGAGAATGAGAATTTGAAGGTGAAGATTCTTGTTGTTGTTGTTGTTGGTGGTGTTGGTGGTGGGGAAGAGTGGTGGTGCCTCTCTTCTGTTTGTTGTTTTGCAAATCTGATAGTTCCATTTAAGCTTGGTAGGGAAGGTTTCAATTTCAAACTTTATTTTTATATATATTTTTCTTCAATTTTTATCATAGAGATGATTCATGAATGTTTCAAGAGTGTAGAATGAGTGAGAGATAGAAAGAGAGAGAAAGTTATGAAAAATTCAAAAGTGTTTGGACCCAAGTGAGTGAGACTGTGAGTTTGTGGGGTACTTGTTGTTTTTGATTGACTGTTGTCTTTGTTCAGACCGCAACAGACTCGCACAGAACAAGTGTGTGTGAAGGGTAAGAAATAAAGTGAGTAGGTTTTAACTTAAAAACTCAAGAGAGAGAAAAAGTGAGTGGGGGACCTTATTAAGGGAAAAATAACGTAACAGAAACCACTCGTGGGGTCTCGTAAAAGCAATACAAAAAAATTGCCCTTTGTTACTCGCTTATATCCCTGCAAAATTCTACCACATCTTTGTGCAAAATCCATCTTCATCCAACCCATAATTAAAAGTCAAGACACCAAGCACAAACTAAACTAATTGGATAGATTTCAGTTACAAGTTTGAATTACAATAATAACATTCAATCTAACGGGACTACATGGGTTGAGTTAAAATTTGAAAACTTATCTAATCTATATTTTAATGAATTTCAAAATAGAATATTTACGAGTTAGTTTCACTTTTCGCATACAAGTGGCATGACACAATTATTTCGAATGTGGTACTAGTAGATTAGAAAATTACATTAGTTGAGATCTGTTTTTGAAAGAAAGTGAAATTGAAAATGATTTGATTTACATTTAGTGTTAATTAAGTGATGTTAATTAATAATTAAAATGATTGGGTAGTGGGTGGGAGAGTGGGTGGAATGGTTAATTTGTATTTGGATTGAAGAGAAGGAGTAGGAGTGAGAGTGCAGGTGAGACAGCAGAGCACACAGCAAAAGAACAGATGAGCATCAGATAAAGGCATCTAATGAAGTACGACAGCTCATCCCAACCCAAACAACATTCTGTGCCTTTCTTTGTTTTTTCTTTCTTTTTCGTTTTTTCAAATTAAATTAATTTTCTTGTTTTGGTTTTTTATGGTCAAATTTCGTTGGTCGCTCAGATTTTTATTGAGTGGATGACACACAAAGACGTAATTACCCTTATCCAATGGAAATTTCAACTCTATATTTTTTTATTTCCTTTTTGTTGATTTTATGTATCCAAATTTTGTAGACACTATAATAATTAGATTTAAATGCAGATTGGTTCTCCTATATTTATTTTAATACTCCCTTTATTTTAAAATGAACGTGGCTTAAGTTTTTTCATAGATTAATAAATTTAATAATAATATTATATGATATTACACTTTTAATATAATAATCTTATAAATATATTGAAAATAATATGGAGAATAATAATTAAACAATATAATTAAAATATTAAAATATTAAAATATTATTTATTTTAAAACATGTTTTATTTATTAAAATGATATTTATTTTAAAATAATTTTATCATTCTTAGCATTCTCTTTGTAACTTTTTAATCGTCACTTTTATGAAAATTTTGTGTTTTTTTTAGTTGTTATTTTTAAATTTTAAAATAGTGTTAATGATAGTGATCTGGACTGGGCCTATACTTGCCCTACATTTGGGAGACTCAATCCAGCACTCTTGTGTAAGGCCCAAAGGCAAGCAACCCAAGTTAGGGACCGTTGAGCAACTCCTCACGCATCTGTTGGGCAACTCCCCACGCATCTGCTGGGCAACGTGGCGCACGTGTCCGTGTCACTATCATCTTAACTGCCCTCCGGGAATTATGGGTCCAACCCTTATTCTCACGGAGCAGTTGACCAGAGGGGAGTCCACTTGCTGGACTCCATACACACGTAAGCCCTGACAGTCTTCGTTATTGGGCCTCATCGTGGCTCAACAATGGGGACCTTGGCCCAGCACTGGAGGCTATAAATACCCTCTCATTTGAGAGAGCCAGGTATTCATTCTCATACTTATACTCACACTTGCTCGCGCTCTCCCTGAAACTTACTTTGGCATCAGAGTATCTTGCAGGTATCTTTCATCTTGCTTTCAACCTAAGCTCGACGTAAGGCCTTGACGACCACTCTGGTCAGGTACGATCAATGGCACCGTCTGTGGAAAACTAGCTTCCCCGTCTTCATTTACCTAAGACAAAAGCAACTACAAATTCTTGATTGTCATGACCGACCCAGTTGCCAACAACATCTTGGACGCCCATCTCGCCGACCCCAACAACAATGTCGTCGAACACATGGGCAACAACAACAACAGCGATAGGAACGATGGCAATATGGTCGGTCTCATGCATAATTATAGAGACGACATGACTGCCTCTTCCTCATCACACACTCGACCATACGAGGGCACCCATCCGCTCCAAAAAACGAGTCTAGCACTTTCCAGGAGGACCCCGTCCCTCCGGGCGTTGATGCCATGACCTGGGATCTGTTCGCAGCAATTAACTAGACGAATTACCTAATCTTCGAACAAGGTGAGCAGCTAAGTGTGCTCGAGGACTCTCGTCGAGCCCCCAGAAGACATAGGAGGCCTGGCTCCCCTCCTCCTCGTCAGGATGAAGACCGTCTTCAATCTACCCCACAGAGACACAAACGGGACAGGTCGCGAAGCCCCCACCTCCTCATTAGAATGAAGATCGTCTTCAATCTCCCTTGCAGAGACACAAATGGGAAAGGCCGCAGAGCCTTTCTCCCTGATGGACTGGCCGACGCCCCGCGCTGGAGAGAACCACGCCCGATACTACAGGGAGACGCGACCTCACCCCCGCCCCCCCGCGCAGAGAACAGCGTTCCCCTGAAAACAAAAACATGGGTAACATAGAAACACATCCTCGACTAAGGGATCCTCCCCGAGGCCAAGGACGCCGCTATGACCTCCATTACAATTGGTCTCCTTCCCACTCCCCCTATAGGAGCGACGAAGACGACCCCACGGTCCTCTATTAAAAACAATCATGGAGGCGCCCATTCCTAAAGGAATGGAGAAGTCTCCCCAACTGGAGGAGTATGATGGCATTGTCGACCCAGTCGACCATATCGACGGGTTCGAAGCAATGCTCCACTATCATAATGTCGGGGGACCGATCAAGTGTCGGTTGTTCCCCACGACATTGAGGAAAACCGCGATGTACTGGTATAAAATTCTACCCCTAGGGTCGATCACTTCCTGGAGGAACCTGAAGAACCAGTTCATCAGCTCTTTTACAGCGTCTCATTGACACCTGAAGATTAAGGCCTCCCTCGAAGATATCTTCCAAAGAAACGACGAGACCCTCTGGGAGTTTATAGATCGGTTCAATCACAAGGCCATCTAGGTCCCCTGTACCGATCATATGAAACGGTATCTGCTAGAGAGGGGACTCCTCTCGGGAACAAAGTTCAGGAAGGTCGTTGGCATCGAACCACCCCGAATATTCGATGCTCTCCTCGAAAATGCTAGGGCCTACATGGACTACGAGGAGAGGGAGGCGGCCAACAAAGCCCTCGACCCAAGGAACCGCGGACCAACCAACTCCCCACGACACCAAGACGCATCCCCTCCTCGAAGAACGGACGAGAAGAGGAGGGATGACAAACCACGGGATCCCTGCGAGCACAGGGGGCCCGCAGGACGATTCACTAAATACACTCCTTAACAGCTTCCCGCGAGCGTATCTCAATGGAGTGTGCTAATACCGACTTCAAGGAAGGCGGTACCAAACATCCTTGCTCTTCCCCCAAAAAGCTTGGGGCTAACAGGAGCAAATACTGTCAGTACCACCGGAGCCACGGGAACCTGACTGAGGACCGCGTCCATCTCAAAAACACCATTGAAACCCTCATCAAGGGTGGCAGGCTCGTGAAATGTCGTTGCAATGACGCTCCTCATCGGGATGTCTGCGAAACAGGAGAGGTTGAGGAAGACACCCGACCATTGGATGAGACAACCCCCATCCAAATAGCCTTCTCTGTTACTAGGCCGGAGGACTTCTACGTCCCCGACAGACACGAAGAAGAACTTCTATCCATGCACAGTAGGTGGGAAAATTTCCCCTCCGCCATGGTTATAACTGGTGGGGGGTTCAACAACATCTCCATAAACTCCGCAAAGAGGAAGCTCGACGAGTTGGTCGATGTAACCCCAACTCAAGCGGTAACTTTCGAGAAGGTCAAGGGAAGGTCAGAGCCGATCACATTCTACCTCGAAGAGTTTCCCGGAGGGTCCCATAACTCGAGCATACCTCTTCTGGTAAGGGAAAGGATGGCTAATTTTAACGTTCATCACGTCTTGGTCGATGAAGGGATTTTCGTCAACGTTATGTACAACCATTTGTTTCGAACCTTGCAGCTCGACGACACTCACCTTTCACCATATGTGGGGTCTGACCTGCAGGGCTTCAATGGCCAGACCTCTAAACCAGTGGGGTACGTGGAGCTCTTTGTCACCTTCGCCGAGGAAACCGCTGCCAGGCAGGTTAAGGTGAGATTTTTGGTCATCAACTGCCTCTCTCTTTACAACTGCATCCTAGGGAGACCAACGCTGGCCGAATTGACCGATGTCCCCTCCACCGTCCATCTAAATATGAAGTTCTACACGAAGAGGGGACGCGTCGCCACCATCCACGGTGATATCTAAGTTGCCTGAAGATGTTTCAATGCAAATTCAAAGGGACGGAGTACGGTCGACATTGGGGCCCGACCTGCCAAGAGAGTTGCTACTGCTCGACATGAGTCGCTACCCATCAAGACAGAAGATCAAAGAGCTTCACCCAAGGTCGACTCCATCTTGATGGATACCCGCTTAGACAAGGATGAAGCACCCAATGGCAAACAGGAACTCCTCTGACCAATCTCGGGCGGAGACTTCGAGTTCGTCCCCTCAGCAAAGACCCTCACAAAGGCGTGAAGATCACCACTGGACTCCTTGACTCGGTGAGGAAGCAGATCAAGGCTTTCTTGAGGGAGAATGCAGACCTGCTCGCGTGGAGCACCGCAGAGATG